ACAACTAGAAACCTACAAATGTAACACACATATATTTTTTTAACTCCACTCTCTTTGCCTACTGCTGTTGGATTAATTCCCATGTTAGGTTTTTAGTAGTAAGCCAGTATCATAAATTGTTTAACTTATTCACAATTTAAGTTGTATTTCCTCACCAAGTCCAATGCTAATTTCTTGCTTATTTTCAATATTTTTAGATTGTGGGTCATTCCATTCTTCTGAATACATATATATATATATTTTAATTTTTCTTATCATTTCGTCTAAACCATCATCTGTTACAATAACGATATAATCTGCATATTTCAAACGTGCATCTTTCTACTACTGCTTCTATTTTTTCTCTTCCTTTTCTAAATCATGTTTGCAAATTCTAAATATAATTGGAGTTAGAGAACATACTTGTTTGACTCCAACTTGTTTCCAGAAATGTTCACTCTTTCTCTTAATTTTGTTTCCAGTTTCCTCATAAATTGCTTGTATCATTGATAGTGTTCTTCTTCATAGTCCAAGTTCTCTCAGTTTTACGTATAATTTCCTTCTGTTTACTTTATCAAATGCCACTTTCAAATCAACAAAAAAATGCTAATAAGTTTCTCCTTTATTTTGACTTATTTTCAATTAATTAATTAAAAATATACAAACTACTTGTTCTATATCCTTTTCTGAATCTCATTTGCCTTTCTCTCACATTATTATGTTTCCTAAGCACATTTTACCATTATTATTGCTAGAATTTTATACATAACATTGAATAGTGACACTCCTCTATAATTATTCGTCCTTCATTGTAAATAAAGCACATGTCTGCTTTTATCCATTTTGTACACATTATTATTTCCTACACCTTATTGAGTATTTCCAAAATATTCTTCATATTGTCTCTTGCCACTTTGTAAAATTCATTAAATTCTTGATCTCCTCTTGAACTTTTTAAGCACACTCTTCAATTCATTTATGGAGAACTCCTCAATATATATATGTTACTTCATTACATTTTTAACTAGCCTTTCCTCCATGCTATTTAAAACTGACATAAAATATTCCTTCCAACCAACCCATTTCACATTTTGTCCTGTACTTCACTTTCTTCCTTTATATTTATTTACAGTCCTGTTTCTACTTTTTATTTATTGTAGTACTGTAAATTCTTTCTAGATACTTCCACATACATACTTTCTTCTGCTTTCTTCTATCTTACTAGAAGTCTTCTCATTTTCCAACGTACAGTCCTTAACTAACCATCCTTATGTTTTACTGTCTTGTTCCACTCTCTTCATTCCAACTTCTTTTGCTGTCTCCGTCCTTTATTGTACTCCACATTGCTGGTTCATCTTCCATATTACTAGTTTACTATCTTTTTCCTTTGATCAGTCCTATTCTGTTTGAAGCCTTATTATTTAATTACTCCTGGCTGACTCATCATGATTGACTTGAAATAACTACACTAAATCACTGTTGTTGTTCTTTTATCTTTGCACTTCCAGAGCACTTAATTTAGCTTGAAATAAAATCTTTGTAGTCCCAATTCTTCCAAAGTTTAGCTACTGACAGTCACTATTTCTTAAAATTTGCTTTTTTCATTAGCATTGACTGCCTCTATTGACCTGCAGCAATCCTGATACACTGCTTGTTGCATTATAACAGCAACAAAGATGTGTTACCATATTAATGAAATTAGCTATATTGCATTAGATCTCAATTCACAAAGAAGTGGAAGTAAACGTTTGGAATGTACAAGTTAACACAAAGTTTGATTCATGGTGTGGTTTCATTGAATTTCACAGATGAGGAAAAGGAAAACATGCTATCAGGGCAAATATAAAAGATGATTATAAAACTTTAATTACATAATGGAATTTATATTTTTTGTTATATTTTATTTGAAATACAGAAGGTGATGTTTAGGTCTCTGTAAATCCTCTGACTATGTTAGTAAAAATTAATTGTTTGTAGTTCTTTTGGAACAAGAAAAATGAAATGGATAAAATGTATAAAAATGCAGTGTTTACCTAAAAGTTAGAAACAACTTATGCATAAACTTTTACTACAGTCCAGATCCGCATAAAAGTCAACACAATATAGCAGTCAACCCTTAATTACAGCCATTTTGGCTCAGTCCCAAATATTTCCTTCTATTTTATATTTGTAAAACATCCACTATTATGGCACTCATATTGCAGTCAACTTGGCTTGTAATCACCTGTTTCCCACACCCAAGCGGTCTCTTTGAACTTAGTATTGAGGCCACTCTGGCTGGCTCTTACCTGCCGGCCTGATTGAGACCTGTCAGTCAAAGTGAGGCCACCACCGTACATCAACTGATAGTGGCCACGTCTCATAGGTGTTACAGATCAGGTGACCATTGATGATCCCTATTAATGGCACACTAATCCTACCTGATGCTTCACACCTCATGCTGCACTGATGATCACACATACATGATCAAACAAACAGAATGTTTTCACACTCCTTTAAACTTTGTCATTTGTAACACCTCTAGTTCAGTGTCTCTTTGTTCTTCTTGTGAACAAAAAGATTTGTCCAAAGGGGAACACAAAGGTTAGTATTATGGGTGAGTTGTAGGGGTATGTATTGTGCCATTGAGGCCTCAGTCTGATCCAAGAGTTGACCCCATACAGTGACACCTGGTAATATGGCCACCTTGCTATGCGGCCATTAATTGCTTTGACCCACAGATGATTGGATAAACAAAGCTGGACTGTATCAGCTTTATTTTTTGAATTTGGTAAAATAATACAATTCTAAAATATTTATTGTTGAAAACTTTTGATCAATAGTCAACCCTCAATATAGATCAGAACTAAATAATTTAAAGTTAACTTGATTAATAAAAACATAAAAATCAATTGCAAACTGATTTCAAATATTGAAACTGCATTAAAATTGTTAGTGTTTATAAGTTCAAACATCAGTACAAACTCTGCGAGAAAAGTTGTCAATGAGCTACAGTAAAACTTATAAGATTTTTTGTTCCATCAGTATATTGTTAATGGTCAAAAAATAGCCAATTATCACTATTTCTGGACATAGGATATATTAAAGAAAAGTAATGTTACTAAATAATATTAAATCTTAAGTTTTTAAACTAAGTGTTCTATTTAATAAATATAATTTTGGTAGTGAATGAACTATCATTATGAGTTAAAACATAATTTATCTGATAGTGCTATTTGAAATTGCCTTTTCTTTACTTTTGTTCTGGAAAATGGTAAATAGCTGTCTAACCATTACATTTTCTTGACAGTAAATGAAGAAACAGGGTCAGCACTGCCACTGGAAGACAGTAGATTAGTTGAACGAATCACAACCAGATTTAACAACTCTTTGATTTTTGATCCATCAGAAACTTTGCTGGCCTATACAATTCGTGATCCTGTAGTATTTGGTATGCACAGTTTTTATTGAAAGAATAACCATGTTTTTCATACTGTGTTTCAGTACATAATGTGTTTGATGAAAGCATGGAATAGTAGTGGCTTTGTTTTTATTCCAAGTTCTAATTCTGCTGTACATGTTTATACATTGCTTTGTTAAATGAGGAGTTTTTTAAAATGCTCAAGAAACTACTGTAGGATATGATTCCAAAGCACTACAAGTCTTAAATATGGGTTGGTTTGTGCCTTGTAAACATACAAAACTTTGTCCTCCTTATGTGTCATGAAAATAACTGTGTACACTATATCCAGGCATGTTGTTATTGGAGTGCAACTGTACCTACAAAGGTTGATCTTTCCCCCCACCCCTCAATCCTAGCTAACTAAATGAAATAGTATAAACATGTATGATAGAGCTTGGCAGTTAACTCAGTTACCTATGAGCAGCGATTACATCGAATAGCGTCATGTCAAGTAACCAATTAATTACAATTACGATGAAATCTATTAATGTTTTGAAAATAATCAACTAATCAAAAGTAGTGTTTCTGATTATTCCAACTATCCAAGTCTTGAATGTAATCAATTTATGAACCTGATGATTAATTAATCAGCCATTTCAACTAATTGCCCAGCTGTAGTTTATGGTAAATTAATGTGTAAAAGATTATATACTAATGTTTTGATATGAAATCACTGCACCCCCCTTATGTGGTTTTACATCCCCAAATTTTCTATCCTGGTTACCTGGCTGCAGTGAAATAATCATAGAAAAAGTACCTTGATTATAGGATTTTTGAAAAATGGAATACCTGGAAATATACTGAACAATTATGTCCTCTGTTGAACTTTTGTATATTTAATTTGTTTACTTAAAGTTAAGTAAACAAATTTTTATTTTCAACTAATCAGTAACTCCCAATTAAAAAAAAAGCACCAGGGCATGTGCTTGGGTAGTCCCTTACCTGCCAACAAGTCAAGATTTTTCCAGATCATAAACTTCTAGAACCTTTATGGAACTTCTCAAGAGTTGTAGGAAACAGTGAATATGTTTTATAATGCTTATACAAAATAATGCCAATATGGTTTTAATTAAACTTGATTTATTTGTAAAGAATGAGATTTTGGATAAATAAAGCACATGCATAGTAGTTTACTAATTTATGGAGTTTTTGTGTGTAATATACTTTAATGGCCTTGTCAAGATATAAAAGACTGTTTAGTTTAGATATTATTGATTAATTTATTCTGTGAGTGAATATTTTATTATTATTTAGTTTTTGGTTATAATAAGAGTTAAAAGCAGACGATTGTTGGAAGTTGTGTTCATAATTCATTGATGTTGAGACTATCGAATGTCTTGTCCAATATATTGACATTGAGAATATAGAGGTTTCTAGAAGGCGGGCAGACGATTAAGTGATAGAGACATAAACAGTGTGAGATGAGCGGTAACAGCAGACAGACAGTAGCAAAAGAGAGTAAAGTTATGACAAGGAAAAGGTCGGCATGAAGTTAACTACCATAGAAGTGATAGGCCTAATGTTTAATATGTTAGAGTAAGACTAACAGTAAAAAAGGAGATAATAAGAATAATTTATTCTGTGAAAGCATGGTTCGAAAGTAATTGAATCAACCTGAGTGCACTTTGATAAAAGGAACAGAGGATATTTAGAAGAAAGAAGACCAAATGATTATGGTAACTTGCACCACAAGTTACCACAATATATAATTTTTCTCATCAATTGTCAAAATAAAAAGGCTTTTACTTATACTTCTTAATAGTATAAATATATATATACTGTGTTGTTGTTGGGATTAGGATTCTATTACAGTAGGTGTCTGTGACTTGTTGGCAATAAATTCAACGATAAATGAACAGCACGCACTTCACTTGTTTTCAAAATAATATATAATCGGAACAAGTTAAACAATATGTAAAACAAATTCTTCACACAATAGAGATTACAGGCATATCATAAACACTATATATGTAGTTCTCTTCTTCTTCTTAAAATCAACTTAGGCCTGTTCAATTGCTTTAGAATTTCAGTAGACAAGCCAATCTATCTTCTCTGTTATTATCGCACTAGTATTCTGTGTATGATTCACTTACAATTGTGGTGTGAGTTACTGTAATTGTTTGGTCTTCTTTGTTCTAAATATTCTCTTTTCCTTTTGTCAAAGTGTACCCAGATTGATTCAATTACTTTAGAACCATGCTTTGACAGAATAAATTATTCTTATTTCCTTTTTTACTGTTAGTCTAACTTTAACATATTATACATTAGGCCTAGCACTTCTATGGTAGTTAAGTTCACGCCAAATTTTTCCTTGCCCGTAACTTTTTTCTGTTATTGTGTGTCTACTGTTTCTGCTTATCTCACACTATTTATATCTGTATAACTTAATCGTCTGCTCGCTTTCTAGAAATCTCTATATTCTCAATGTCAATATATTGGATGCGACATTTGATAGTCTCAACATCAATGAATTATAAACACAACTTCCTACAATCATCTGCTTCTAACTCTTATTATAACCAAAAACTAAATAATAATAAAATATTCACTCACAGAATAAATTAATCAATAATATCTAAACTAAACAGTCTTTTATATAACGACAGGCCTGTTTGAAGAACACTAGTATCTGACATTGTGTTTTATATTTATTCATAGAATATGTGTAAATGGTAATAAGTTTGTTTTTTAAAAACTGATTTGTAGTTTTCTGTCGTTAAATATTTTCTCTTGTTGCAGTTTGAGAGATTAGAATTATGGTTTTCAGTATTGCTTTATCATTAGAAAACATATCATTTTCAAAACATTAGAAAAGTTTCCTGAAATAGAGAAGAGCAACTAAGGATAATTTAATGAATTATAGATTGCAAATCTCAAAAAAATTAAATCAACATACACTATTCTTTTTTTGTTATGACAAACATAACCAAGTCAAAGATAGTTTTCTTCTATTATATGGAGCAGCTTCCCCCCCCACCCCTTTTTTTAAAAGTTGACATATTTTTTGCTTTATTACAGGCACAGGGTTCAGCAGTAAGCCTCGAGGATTTGCTAGAAGGTAAGACTTTTCTGGTTAATTTTTTTTTTCACAAAAGACTTTCCAAAGTTATAAAAATCACTCACAAAAATTATATAGATGTAAAATACCAATATTTGGTAAAGTGGGTCAGTAAATACAAAATTATCTGCCAAGGTATAATTTTTATAAACTTAATAATGCACTGAGCCTATAATTAAGTTTTAGTTCTAATTCCATGAATATTTGTGTCTCTTTCTGATGATCATATTGTTTTTATGTTGGAATTCTATGCAGCAGTCTAGACATCATAGACCAAGAAGCTCTTGGAGACTGCTTTTGGAAAAAAACTATCATACACTGCAGTGTATGAGAACTTTCAACTCGATATATAATGCACACTAAAATTATTACATCATATAAGTTTTTAATTAACTTTCAGCACAGGCTCAGTCCTTGAGACTGACCTCGTAACCATTTTGTGCTTGTTACAGTTTTCATGCTATAACTTTTAATTAGTAAGCAAATGTTAATGAAATTTGGCAGATTATCAGTAAACATTACAATGCTTTCATACGCAAAATATCATTTTTTTTTATTTAGTTTGTAAAGCAATATTTTTCTTATGCTTTTTTCTTTTCACGTGTTGCCTATCTATCATGCAAATTAATATTCATTTTAAGATTAAAAATATTTTTATGCATCAGAAAAGTTTGAAATTTGACATGCATAATCTTTATAATGTCAAGATAGTTATCAAACATTTCTTAAAAAAAACTTTATATTTTATCTGTTATTTTCAGTAATTAATCTCTGTACGAGTTCAGTAGGTTTGACCAATCTCGCAACCACCATAAAAAATTAGGAAATAAATATATATTATGCCTCTTTCATTCTAGAATGAACATAAGTTATAACATGAAAACATAAATGTTTAGACTAAATAGCTTAAATCTCATAACGTTATACATTTATATATATTTATTATTTTTATTATATTGACATTTTGGCCATACCTGGCTAACAGTACAGAAATTACAATGATGTGGCTCATATGCACTTATATTTCCATATCAAATGACATACTACTGACCTTTGGTCTGTACAAAGTAACTTGTCTTGGCTGTGTTTCAGTAGTTTAAACTTATTTTTCTTAAAACATAGAACAGTAACTAAAGAAGTAAAGCAAACAATTATCTCTTCTAGTTACAACCTTTGTACTCTATTGCTGCTTGACGTAGGTTGCTAAGCCTTTAAAAAATTTGCACATGGAGGATATGAAACAAAATATTTTCTTTAGGTTTCTATATATATATATACATTTGAATAAGTAAAAAATAATAAATTACTACATCAATATCATAGAATTCCACTATAATTTATCAAACTAAGATGTATTTTAATCTAAAAAAAATATGAAATTTCAAGGAGATTAAAGACACACCCTACCTCATTGAAATATTGGTTCAAAAGAAATAAATAGTGCCAAGCCCATTAAAATGGCTGAGAAAGCCACTAGGGGGACATCCTGAGCTTCTGATTGGTTATCCATGTTATATATAGAAGTAAGTGTATATAAGGTAGCATTTCCAAAAATGGAAAGAGGTGGGTGGGTGCCGCTGTGTTTGATTTATTACATGAACAATATCTTGAAAATTGAAAAGATAAGAGGCTCTTGTTTTATATTCTAGCTTGTCAATATCGGTAATTTGAGATTCTATTTCATACAAAACTATAGACTTAGTATCTTTACTTCACAAACATAATTTGAACTAGTGCTGCATTCAACATACCACGTGACACACAAAAATCGATGTTTAGCTGTTTTTAAATTAAG